CTGGCATGCATGCTTTCAGGCGGGAGGCTGCGAGTTCTGCAGTGGAGACAGCGAGCGTAAACATGCGTAACACTGCCAAATACACTTTCTGACCTACTTCAGCTCACAGGGAAATACACTGTATTGTCTGGCCCGAGACAGTGGCTGTCTGTGAGGCCTCAAACCTCAAATCCTTCACCGAACGATTCATTCCGCTGCAGAACATGGCCCTCTTCTGCAGATGGGTTTGGAGAAAGACGGTGAGATGGAGAGAGATCAGGGTGGTGGTGGGGTTGAGGGGAGGTTTGTGAAATAATGACCAGAAGTGTACGCTTGGGTAAATCTGCACTGGGATTGAGTTTTAAATAGCCTGGAATGCACAGTGCTGGAAATGGGTGGTAGTTCAGAGAGCTCAGCCTGCTATACTGCAGTGTGTGTCACATCACAGGACAGCAGCTGTATGTGACAGAGGAAGTTAGGGTCTCCTCACAGTGAATGGATGCTTACGCTCTGGATGCACAGACTAAGGCCCCATCCACACTACTGCGTTTTAGTTTAGAAACGGAGAATTAAAACGAATACGATCTCCGTCCACACCAGCGTTTTAGCTGCGTATTAGAATTGATATCCGTCCACATTAAAACGACTGAAAACGCGTGACCATTCACGTGACCATTCACCTACACTGGGCATGCGTTTGCCGGTGTAAACAGGAAACAGATGGACTATTCCTCAGATTTGACGAAGAAGAAAGTAGCTAAGTTACCTCTGGAAAGAGCGACGCTCCATGTATGTTCGATACCGCCACTGCACACGGGAATTGTCACAGATTGCTCGAATAATAGCTTGCCTCCGGCGCATGTACGCAGTTATAGCATTAAAAAGGCAGAATTTACTTTCACAACAGCTGCTAGCAAAGACATCAAAGTCAGAAACGCTTGCCATGACTGATGACACCCAACCAGAGAGCCGAGCGTGAGCCTCCGCGTCATCGTTTCTAAAGTCCTCCGTTTTGACCCGTCTTCACTAAAACGCCCTCTGGAGATTCAAAACGCAAAACGGGGTCGGCAGCGTTTCTAAACTTCTCCGTTTTAGGTCTTCGTTTTTTTCCGTTTTAGTCTGGATGGGAGGTGCAAACGTAGCAAAAGGTCTCTGTTTCTAATCTAAAACGTAGTTGTGTGGATGGGGCCAAAAAGAGATGTGGCCAAGAGGTGCATTTTTCTTCACTAAAATAATCATGACATTAGTGATACACCTAAATTAATATTTTAGCGAATCACTGAACCCGAAATTAAAGTTTTCAATTAGCCAAAACCATAACCAAAAATATTTTATATAACTTAAAAATATGGGTAATTGAAATCAGTGTGCTGTTTAGTGTCGTTTTCTCACATGATAAATTAAACCAGTGGTAATAGGTGAAGTACATTAGTACATCACTACACAATATATCACTTGATACACAACATATAGGTACCAGTTTAATTTTTTTATTTTAATAAAAAAAAATGTTAGTATATATTTTTTTTGTTAGAATCTGATATTTAATTGTTCATGCTCTTATCCCCTGTTTTTAACTTTTTGATTACGTTGGCCACCATCTAAGGCTCATTTTTGTTTAAAATTGTGAGTGTTTAAAAAACAGTCATAATTTAATAACACTGTTAAACTATCTTTTGCAAATCTGAAATGAATATCCATTTTTTTCATACAGTGCTTATAGCATTTAAAATGACTGATTTTAGTTTTTAGTGTTAGTTTTTAGCCATAACATGACAACAGTTTTCACCATCGCTCAGAATTGGCCATTGCATCCCTATTATTGAAAGTTTGTAGGCCCTTTTTAGGATTGCGTAATAGCCAGTAGTACATGCATCAATGAGCATCCCTTCATCCAAACACAAATAAATCATGTTTTTGGATCTTATTGACTTCTCACTGGAGTTCATCCTCCATGTGTGATGTCATGATTTTTGCTGGAGCTCCTGGCCTGGTTGCCTGAAACAAAATGGTTGCTGTATGCAATAAAAGCCAAAGGTCACGTCAGGGCCACCTGTTTGGAGTGGCAGCTGAGTACTGCTTTGCCAAGGGCCTCCTCCTCTTCTTCCCTGTTAACCCCTTGTGTTCATTCCAATCAGAGTTTCAAGCACATTTCTTGATTTGTCTCGGTCTTTAACTACTCCTTCACCTGCTGGAAAATCCAGCTGAAACCAGCCTAAAGCGATAGCTGTGTTTTGGAACATGATATTTGGTGTCTATCTGGTCCAAGCTGGTCTGCCAGATCAGCCAGGTGCCCAACAGCTGGTTCTCCAATTGGTCAAACACCTAAACCATATTAGAGTTGCTAGAAACTAGCTATTAACGTTGTAAAACACAGATTTTCTATTTTTTTTATATGAAGAAGAATTATGATACAGGTTTTTATAATGCTTGTAAGATTTTATAGTGTTTATATTCTTATATGACTCTAATTTAATATTTATCATTTTGAACTTTCATTTGGTTCTATTTATTATTATTTTTTGCCTGGATAAGATTGCAGAAAAGGAAATTGTGCAGAAAATGCAGCAGAAGTTTGTGATGAAATAAGATAGAGTTTGTTGGGATGTAGGAGGAGGAGAACCACCCAAAGAGAGGGAGAGAGAGAGGGAGAGAGAGAGGGCGAGAGAGAGAGAGAGAGCTGAGCAGTAGAACCAGTTAAACCAGAAACCTCTCCTCTTGTCAGGAATCCTCCTCCTGGTTCTCGGAGCACTGTAGCCCCCATCCCCACCGAGACCCTTCTATTCTGACACCTCCCCCACTCAACACAAACACACATACACACATGCTGAAACTGATACAGGAACAGTGTGGAGTGTAGAGGCAGCAGAACGCGATAGCCCCATGAGCCAACACCTGCCCACAATCCAACACTTGCCTGTGCCTGTCACACAGGGATGCAAGAGCTTTGACACACTCTTGCCTCAGACACACACTCTTTCTTTTTGCATTCCCCCCCTGTTGTTTTGGCCTTCTTAAGAGCTTTTGTACCAGCGAAGTGTGCAGGATTCTTATTTCCTGACCTGCTTACTTTAATTAATTAATTTATTTTATTTTATTTTTTCCGAACATGTATAGGAAACAAAATTAAAAAAACTTAATGACAAAAACAAAAACCTAATAACAACAAATACTCATCAAAACAGAAAGCAAAAAAAAATAAAAATGTTAAAAAAGGAAAACAATAAAAGAAAACAATGAAAACAATATTAACTTACACATGTCCGAAAAGGAGTAGGAAGAAGCATGAGCTTATTTAATCCTACCCCTTCTCACTACTTATCAATAATACTCCGGTGGCCGATCATCTTAATCTATTTTTCTCCATACACACCGAAAATACATAAATAACAAACATTTTATTTACATTTATTCATTTGTTTATATTTTTTATCAGTATTTTTGGGAAACGAACACATTACCTTGAGTTGTTAAAACATTTTTGGAGTCATTATTTATTTATGATGAAAATGTTCTTTATATTTAGTCAATGTTTTATTATGTAAAATTTATTAGCTTTTGTCATTGTTGCTTTTGGACTAAAATTGCAAATACGCTACCGTTCAAAAGGTTTTTGTCTGTATTATTTATTGATGTTTTTGAGTCTTTTATGCTCAAGGCTGCTTTTTTTTCTTCAAAAATGCAGTAAAAACAGTATAATATTGTGAAATATTATTATAATTTCAAATATTTGTTTTCTACTTCAATATATTTTAAATGCACTTTATTCCTGTGATGGCAAAGATGAATTTTCAGCATCCAGTCTTCAGTGTCACATGATCCTTCAGAAATCATTCTAATATGCTGATTTGATGCTCAAGAAGTATTCTCATTATTATTAATGTTGAAAACAGTTTTTGTAGAAAGTAAAACTTAAAGTAAACTTTTGAGCGATAGTAAGTTTCACAGTGGAAAATAACAATTTATTCAGTGTAAAAAAAGACAAAAACTGTAACAGTTTTGGACAGGATCATTGTTAGTGCTTTTTTTTATTCAGCAGCTTATTTTTTTGTCATCATATTTTCATGCTTTAATTAAAATAGTTTAATTATTGTCATTACACATCTTTGTTTCTCTGATTAATTTTGACCAAATCAAAACTTTAGAGGAACACAAAACAAAACTTTATTAAGAGGAGACAAAAAAACAAAATTGTGAATCGAACTGGGGAACTCAAACTTGTATTGCCCGCATAAGCTCCATCATGCCGTATCACATTAGCTTATTTGCTGTAAAAATGTCCACGCTTTGCACTTTAACCCACTTTATTTGTGTCCATGGTATCACATGAATGTCTGTCAGACAAAAATATGTTTTTCCTGACTGGATAATTTGAAATAAGCCTGTTTTACACATCCTGACAACCTTAAGCTTCATCCATCTGCCTTCCATCCATCTCCATAACGTCATTCGTCCCTCTATCCCTTCATCCTCACTCTCTTCTGTCTCCTTTTGTTCTTGGGTCTTTTAATACCAGCTCTTGTGATAGGCTTTTGTAAAAGCAGTAGTAATGTTCCATACAGATGGCTGTAGCACTGGCTCCTGCGCTCACCAGAGAGGAAACTTGGCAGTGCATGTGACTTTGTGTTATGTGATGGCAGCCCGTTTCAGTTTACCAGCTGAACAAGAGGCCTGAGGCTGGATCTCTCCTGTTACCTTTACACTACAGAGAGCACATCTGAAATGATGTCACTCTTTCTCATGTGGCCTTTTCAGGTCGCTGTCTCTTCCCGGACCTCGCCTCATGGGAAAACGTGCTCTGAATCCACAAGCCCCTCATAGCCTGAAGGACTTCTCATTTTAATCCCGAAGGGAAACACCTCACATAATTTTCATGCTTACTCAGCGGCTCGGCTCCCTTTAACTCTTGTGTTATATGTGCTTTTTTTAAAACATAACACTCGCTTTGTGTATACGGCGGTGTAGCACTTGCATTGTGTGTGTAGTAATTGTGTGTGGGTGTGTGTTTTGCTTTCTTTTAGTATGAGCAGAGGTCGCTGTCCCTCATCCTGTGCCCGTAACCCTGTGACTCCATGACCCTGTGACGTGTTTAGCCCAAATCTTAAAATGGGTAAATATTCAAAAGACACCTGACACTACTGACCATTCTGTGTGTGTGTGTGTGGGGGGGGTAGTTGCAGGCACCATAGGTGTTGGGTTTAGATTCAAATCCCTTTATCCATACACTGTAAAAATGTGTAATTTTTACATAAATAATAATAAAATAAATTCTACTGTAAAAACGTGTTAATTGGTTAACAGTAAGTTACATTACCGCATAGGATGAAAAACTGAAAATGGTTTAACACTGCATTATATGTAAAATATGGGCAAATTAATGGTTTATGGTAAGTGCTGTATAATTTACAGTGAAAAACAGTAAAAGGACATTCTCAGAGATCCCTGCATCACAAATTACATGTTATTATATTTATAAATAGTTTTGCTTTTTCTTATTTTTGTTATCAGTAATAATGTACATTAGGGTGTTTTGGGTTGCATTTGATTTTATTTAGTGAATGTTTATTGTATTATTTTAGCGTGTTACCCTGATAGTGTTTTGTCTTTGTGTGTTTGAATGACCCTGTGCAGCGTCTATATACTAGCCTGACTTCGTCATACTCATATTCTAGTCAGAATGTGAGTCTGATACTGCTCCATAGGGCTTTGATTATGAGGCGTGTCTTAACCGAACCAGGAAAAAAAAAAACTCTGCACTCAATTGGATAGACCTACAACCAATGAGAGCAACGCAGTAAGTCAACTACTTTGCATAGCACAGTTGTCAACTACAGAACTCAAATGCACGCACGCTGGAAGAAGTGAAATAACGAGTGTTGCTTCTTTTACTTGGTCCTCTATGAGTGCGACCAAAGGAGAAACCACAACGACCACAGGGTTTTCATTGCGTCCTATCTTCTTAGTGACCATCGGAGCCAGCTGATAAATTAAACTTTTGCCGAATCCCGTAGAAAGGACTGCAAACACATCTTTCCGATCGACACATGCCTTGATTGCAGTTTTCTGTTCGTCTATTAAAATGAATGCGCTGTCGATTTCTTTTACAACAGACGCGATAGCGGAATCTATACATCTCAGTTCTCCAGCGGCAGTCGTCTCTGAGGGAAACCAGTTAAGCGCTCTTTGATAACGTGATGATTACGTAACTGCAGATCATCTGCCCATCATCGTATAAATCCCGCCCTGGCAATTTGATTGGCCCGAACATTTTTTGACTGATCATAATTACTCCTCAATGGAGCGAGTCCAGACCGAACTTCCCGACCAAAAAATGTTGTGGGCGGGGTTCGGGCTGGCATCCAGGCTATCTATATACGAGTATTGGACATGTTTTATGTACTCTGATTCATCATGTATTATCATGGTGGTTATCAGTACATTTTAAGTTTTTTTTCAAGTAGATTGTATATTAACACCATATTACTTAATATGGTTATAAGTTGTAAAACATACAGGGACCAATATAATTCCAATAATACCTGAAACATTCTCATCATATTTTTTTTTTTTTTTACAGTGCGGGCATAAAATATTTAAAAAGAAATTATTATTGAATTTGTATGCCCATATAGAGTTGCCTGACAACAGTAAATCCATGTGGATAGTCAGGAGGTGTTGCTGAACCTTTATTAAAAGATTAATTCACCCAAAAATGTAAATTCTATCATTTACTCACCTTCATTTTGTTAAAAATCTGAAAGACTTAATTTTGTCTGTGGAACATAAAAGGATTATTTTAAACATTGGGAACCAAACAACATTGAACCCTATTGACTTTCATTGTACTGACAAAAACATGGAAACGCTTTCCAAATTATCTTGTGTTTTGCAGAAGAAAAGAAGTCATATAGGATTAGATGACTGAATTAAATTTTTGTGTGAATTATCCATTTAAGATTATTTAAAATGTTACATAGGTTGTGTGTGTTGGTATGGAACATCTTTATTTAGATATCAAATAGTATTTTGTATGTTGAGATGCATTTTTTTCAAAATGAGAAGAGATGGAGGTAGAAAGTTGGGAGGAGGAATATAAGTGAGATGGAGGATGGCCTGTAAGATGGAGGATGATAACAGGGAAGAACAGGGGATCTCTGCTGTGTAGAGGAAGCAAAGGAGAATAATGGCTCAGCATTCCCCAGAACTTCCCAGCCACTACACCAAACAGGAAATGCACAAGTTCCCCGCTTTCTCTCTGGTGGAACATGGAGGGGGGGTGGTTGGGGGGAGGTGTTCAGACTTTCCACTCCTCTGTGTACTTATGAACGAAAAGAAGAACAAAATGGCCAAGAACATTCTGAATGAAAACATAAATCTACTGCGAGCATTCATGCTGTGGGGTCATTCCTTGGGATTTGAGAAAGTTTATTGCTGTGCTCCAAAACCTAGTTGAGCAAAACCAGAATGCATTGCAACAAACTCAGTGAAAAGAATAAATCCAAGATGGTGGAGGTGAGAGAAATGTTGGTAAAACACATAGTTATTTGTGTGTGAAATGTTTTCGGTAGAGTATTGTTTGTTAGCTTAGCAGCATGCTAATGCCTAATTCTGTTGGAATCAATTAAGATTTGAGTTTCCAGTGCAGAGCACTAATGTAGAGCTTTTCAGATCTGTCACTTATGTGGTTTCATGATGGTTAAGATGCTGCCTTAAAAGGTAGCTGTCTATATAGGCTGCTCACTAGGTTTTGGACCATAGCTCATGTTTTCTGCAGAGGTTCAGTGAATGGGCATATATATACCTCTTCTTCTGGTTTCTGTCATCCTACTGATTCACCTTGTAGTGAGTGTGTAAAAGAGAGTGATGGTCAGGGGCAGATGGACTCATCATTATCCAGTGTTATCTGTTCCCAGTAGAAGGGAAGGTCTGTATAATCCCCACACTCCCATTAACTAAGACACTTTTATAGCCTGTAGATGTAAGAGGTCATGTGCTTGCCTGGACAGTGTGTATCAGAGCATCAACACTCCTTTTTTTCTATTTGTCCTTTTTGTTCTTTACATGTATAATGTTTCTTGAATTATTACTGGTGCACTGCTTATTAAGCTAGCATCACTGTTATATTATTATTGTCCATACTTTGCTTTATGCTCTATTTTATATAGCTTTTACATAATTTTGAACAAACCACTACGAAGTATTATCTAGGGATGAGAATATCATAGAAACCTGGGAGTGGGTTTGTTTGACTTGGGCCAGGACACAACTGCCCAGAACACCCTGGCAACCACAATGCAACTTGCTAATGTCACTCAGAATGCTTTAGCAGTCTCGTGGCAACACCCTGGCAACCGCTCACAACAACAAATCAAATGGGTGGAATAGATTTTCCTTTACATAAATAGACCTTAGGTAGCCCCGCCCCTTTTCAGCACTGCACTCATTGTGTTCTGTCTTCCGGTTTGTATTTCCACAGCATGAAGGTAATATCGTACGGATTTATGAATGAACCGCTCGTTTTAAAATCTTCCCGGTCTACTGACATTTGTTATGACATATGCTTCAAACATTACAGTGCTCATGATAACTTTCGCTAACTCTACAGTAGTAAAAAACTTTTCCAGGTAATTCCTCTTCAACAGCAATGCCACAGAATTATAAAGAGCTACCGCAAAAACGGAAGTTTAAAGACAAAATATTAAAGATGGACGCTTGTTTCTCTGGTACATAAAGTCTAATTAAAAATTTTGGTTGACCAACCTTTAACTTTTGAACGTTAGTGTGTATATCATTTCTTGAATTATTCTTTTTGAACTTTTTGTTTACCTCCTGCCAGTTCATTTGATTTTCTGTCTCACATACCAAATATTTTGCTATTATATTAGTCCTATGAATGAACCATATGATGATGTGTTTAACTGATGCCCATCTGTCGTCATTAGCTCCAGTGGCTAATTAATTACTGTCTTTAATCCTAATCCTCTCAGTTAGTCCATAGATGCTTGGCTAATAACAGCTCATTAATCTCAGATAATCTCTGGATCTATGCTGTGTGCTATCTCAGTTTGCAGCACTTATACGCTGCATCTGTGAGGCTGATTGAGCCTACTCTAAATGATCCATTTATCCCTCTTATTCACTCAATAGATTAAGGATTTTTTTTAAAGATATTAATGCATTTATTCAGCAAGGTCGCATCATATTTTTGAGTGGCTAAAGGCTTTTAAAGCGAAACCTTCGGTATCTGAGAGTGGACGATTTCAGTCAACATAAGCAACAGCAACCATTGGAGATGCAATTCGGGCATACTTAGCTTTATGCAAATGAGAGACAACACAATAGAGATTTCACAGATTATTTGATTTGTCTGTGCCTACATACAGCAAAACAATGGAAAAAATGGGTTAGAATTTCATGTCATTCTAAGTGAGTTTGATTCAAACACTGATAGTTGTTAATTTTAATTATATTATACATAATGCACTACTGAAATTTGTATACATCCCTGTGAATTTTTTATTTCTAGCAGAATATATCTCATTTGAGAACATACTTTTTTAAAGCTAAGGTCAGTTACGTGTCCCACCAATAACGTTAGGGCATCCAGCGGTAGGAACACTTAAAAGGTGCAGTCATTTTTATGATCAATAATGGAGTTAAGAATGAAGCACTGCTCACACAGAAGTCACTTTCAAACCACTTTTTTTTTCTTTTTTTTTGGTGAGCGTGGCAAAATCGCTTGAGCATGAGCGAAATCACTCAAAAATCCAGGTCGCACGATCCGCATGGATTCCAGTTAAAATGACTCCAATTCACAGAGCAACGGTAAATGTGACCGTACCTTTATTAGTGACCTAGTGCCCTCTAGTCAGTGTGAACATGCATTAAACCCTTCCATATGTGCATCTCTTTTCCTTAAAGTAAAATCCAATATAGATCCTAAAGTCAGGACAAATAGTCAGGACTCCTCTGTCCACAATTTTCGAACCAGTGGAAGTACATGAGCAGAGTTTGGGATGGTGGGAGCTGGGAGGGGGATTTCCTACCCTTCCCCCTCCAGCAAAGGAGATCACACCCTGCAACGGCACACATAAACTGCAGTAGGGCCGCATGGTTAGAGCAAGAGAGAGTACAGCAGACAACCGTCTACCCTCCACTGCTCACACAGCCACTTCCTGCTTTGACTCTAAACCCAACCCCCCTACTGTTCCTCTCTTTACAGCAGAAAGACTTCCAAGTTTCTTCCGTTTGAACATGCACCCAGTCCCTCGACTCGCTTTTCCAGTCCTCTCTCTACAGTTTTCTCACATTTCACATTTCTCTCAGCGTTTTCCTCCATCTCTGCTAGCTTCCCCTCCTTCTCTCCCCTCCTGTGCTCTCACGTATGTGTCGTTCATCTTTCTCTCCCTCGTCTCCTCACCCTGCACCACCCCCTCACTGGGTTGGGCCTCTCTCGCTGTAGTATCACACTCCCACAGCTGCCTCAAACACTCCTCAGCCAGTGCTTTTCCTATCTTCACTTTTAGACAACTCAATGCATAGTGCTCAGTTCAAAATGAGATGTCTGTGGCAAGAGTGTAGCTTTTTAAATCCAATATATAAACTACTGTTCAAAAGTTTGTGGTCAGGAAGATTAAGACATTTATTCAGCTAGGGCACGTTAAATTGATCAAAAGTGACAATTACAAAAAAATCTACTTTATATAAATGTTCTTCTGAACTTTCTATTCATAAAAGAATCATGAAAAAAATGTATCACCACCGTTTCCTCTTAAATATTAAGCAGCACAACTGTTTTCAACGTTGGTTATAATTAGAAACCTTTCGTTTTCCCATTTGAATCTATGAAATCAGTTAATAAGACCGTGTGCAAAGTAGTACAAAGTAAAGTACACCGTCGGTGTATGAATGAGTGAGTGAATGGGTGAATGTGAGGCAAAATGTAAAGCGCTTTGGTGGCCATTGGGTCTGTGAAAGCGCTATATAAATGCAGTCCATTTACCATTTAAAGTTGCTCCTGTAAAACACTTCACAGCTTCTGCAGAAGATATAATCTCTTAATGATTTCCATGTGGCTTCTTTTGCAGATGGGAAAAGTTATTCATTAATGGGCGTATCTGTTATAATTTAGGTTATATTGAGTCCTGAGTAACACAAATTCTCCATTCTTAGAAATGGAAAGTGCCTCCCCTGAAAAGACTGTCAGCAATGGTGTTGGTGCTGCTGATGTGAATGAACGATCTCATTTGTCAGAAGACGCTGTTAACAATCAGCCATCCACACATACACCAGAATCTGTTGAAGGTGAGATGCCACAGTCATGTTTAAAGAGATAATAAATAAAGATTCTGTCATTATTAACTAACTTTTCAGGCTTTTCAAAACCCAAATGATTTTTTTTCTGTCATACAAAAGTATAAAAAATTTCTTCAAAAGTAGCCTTTTTAGACTAATTTCATAGAATCGGGAAAAATAGTTGGAAAATGTCAAATTTTGGAACAACGTGAGTTTGAGTAAATAATGACGGAATTGTCATGTCCCTAAAGAGACACATTGCAATGGTTGAAATACCATGGTCATTTAGTAATCATGTCATTTATAGAAGCAGACTGTGATGGAATGGACAGACCAGAGCATGAAGATGAAGCTGGAGTCAGAACAGAGGAGGAGCTGTCCTCCATCAACTCCATGATGAGCACTGTGATGAATGTGGGCCAGATCAATGGAGTCGACTCTGAGCCCACCAAAACATCTCCCAGAAGTACCACCAAATCACCCTCTGTCAATCGTACTGGGAGAAGAAATCAGGTATAGCATTTGCTATATGTGAGCAGAAGCGGATGTTATTACTTACTTTCAAAGCCAGTCAGTCCACTTGGCAGCCATAATGGTATCTCATCTACTTGAATAGGGACCAAGACCAAGGCTGTGTCCGAAATCACATACTTTCTGAGTAGGTACTTTTACTTTGTAATGTGTATTTAGTATGAATGTGACTGTATTCCGGATGTACTACATTCGTCGCGTTGTCACCATTATGTGACCTATAGCGTCAGTTGCGTCGCTTCACTGCCACACACAAATCGTCCCCCGTGGCCTCATGGGATATTAAAGTTTCCATCAGATGTGCACATCAGAATCTCTCCAGAAGTAGTAGGTTGTCCAGGTACTGTTTTATGATTACTGTGAATTTGGACATACCAAGGTTATTTTCGTAAACGAAAACTGAAACTAAGACTAAAACTATTGGTCAAAAAACATATTCGTAAACTGAAATAAAATTAAAAATTCATAATAAATGAAAAACTAAAACGAAACGAAACTAACAACAGTTACTGAAAAACTAACTGAAATAAAATAATAATGAGCAAAAATAAATAATCGTTTTCGTAATTAATAAGCTCTTTACTTTGGCGGAAAATCTGACCTGGCTGTTTAGGGAAATGCCTGGCGCTTCACCTGTGTGAAGTTCCTGAGGCGATTAACCGCGTGTCGTGAAATGCTCAATGAAGGACCGTAACGTAGAACACACCGTAGAACACATCGGCTGTTCATAAAGGATGCGTTTGTGGCAGTGGAATGGGAAATAACACAAGGTAATGAGACGCAAGTTGAACTTCTTTCAACTTGAGCGCAGCGTTTTTAGAATGCCGTTTGCAATGCGCGGGTGCAACAGCAAACAAGTCCGTCAAGCACAAAAAAAAAACCTTTAATGTACTTCTGTATGTTTGAGATATCATGTTTTCATTAACGTTGACAATGTTAGGGATTCTAGGAAATACCAGGACACGACACACCAACAAGCACGCGCATACACACACACACACACACACGCACACACACACACACACACAGACACAGAGACAGTCTGGACTGGTCCACTATATTTGTGGGGACTCTCCATAGACGTAATGGTTTTTTTACACTGTACAAACAGTATATTCTGTTTCCTTACACTAACCCGACCCATCACACACACACACACACACACACACACACACACACACACACACACACACACACACAGACCCCTAAACTTACCCATCTCACACACAACTTTCTCCATTGTTACATTTAAAAAAAAAAAAAAAAAACTCATTCTGTATGATTTATAAGCTTGTGTAGGCTACCTATAGGTCCCAAAGTCACACGAGTCCCCATGCGTCTGTGTGCATTCAGGTTTAAGTCCCCATCAGGATATAAAGACATGTACACAGTGCACACTCACACACTGCATAAATACTTATTATTTAATTACACTGGCTTCACAGCAGGTTGTGTTGGCTGTAGTCAGATGAATTGAGCTGTTTTTTTGTTATGTTCCAGTGGCCACTCTGCTACATGTACAGCTGAAAAAAGTAAACTATGTTTAACAAGATTTAATCTTTAATATGAATTAGTTTGTCTGAATTTTTCATATTTTTTTTCTTATCTACTTTTAAGTTATATTTATTTGGTGCTTTGTTCAATCTCAAACCATTATTTTATTTGTATTATTAAGATGTCTGCACAAGAGTTAACTGTAATCTGGGCAAACATTAAACTTTGCTGAAATTAATTGTCTCGCTTTGGTCTACACTGGAAGTGTTCTGTTAGCTCTGCTAAACTATAATTACTAAAACTGAAACTAAATAAAATAAAAACTAAATAGAAATGTGTTTGCAAAATAAAAACTAAACTAAAATTAACAATACCATTAATGAAACTAACTAAAACTAAACTTAAATTTAAAGCAAAATTGAAAACGATATTAAATAAAAACTAATTTAAAAAAGCAAAACTATAATAACCTTGGGACATACTACTCTGTTTACATCCTGCTTTTCGCCTACTATATAGTAGGGAAGTATGTGATTTCGGATGCAACCAAATCTCCAAGACTGTTTGTCAAGATTGAGTTTCAATAACAAATTTCAAATCAGCAATAACATTCAAATGTTGCTTCTTTAGCTGATTCTTTAGTGATTTTATATTTTTCAAGTTGGTTCAGCTAATGTACATGCGCGTTCTAGAGTAGAAAAAACACATGACTGGCTCTTTTAATCGCATGGTGACACTTTCATTTTTGTAGATATGCCATATTTAGTGTTATGATTTTTCCTGATTGTCTTCGAGTGGACTGTCTCATCCCCCTCATACCATCTCTGGTAGTCAGTCAGAGTGGCTGTTACATGACTGTTAAATGAGCGGCAACAAATGGTCCTTGCGCTTTCTCAATCCCCCCTTTGTGAGAGCCGATGCTTGTCTTATGCCTTCAATTAAAGTGTGGGATTCGACTGAAACACTTCTCTGTGGAGAAAACAGGTGTTTCAGTCTCCCAGCCCCCTCTGGTATCCCTTCCTACAACCCTAACTGCATTTCCATACGCTGAGAGTGACTCTGCACCGCTGCTCTACTGCCCACTGAATTAGTGATGCTCTTCCTCAGCCAGTGCTGCTGTTGTCTGGAGAAACAGATGGAGAGACCACTTGTTACTCCATGTGACGTGAGCATACAACCGCTCCTGCTGCTCTGACACATACTATCTTCATCAGGCTGGCTATATCCTGCATCTGTTTTACCTATTGTGTTTATCTCTCACTGGGGGACAAAATAAACATCTCACTAGGGTTTCGGAGTCATGGGTAGTGACATGTGTTGAGGTATTTTTCACTTGATTTTGGATTTTTGCTTGATTAATACATCATTACTTATTAATGTGTTTTCAGGGTCAGGGTGTTTCAGGGTGTTTTCATGGGTTATGTGACCCATAATAGTTAGAAATGAATAGTTGAATATATGATGAAATTTGTACAGAGCTCTGTACAGGGGACACCTTAGGTACGATTGCAGTTAAACATTGCAGTGTTGTTGAAATCTAGTCATATTTTATATAAAATTTATATTTATATTAAATGTTATATATAAATAACTAATCAAGTCAAGTCATTTTCTTTTCTGTTTTATATGTACATTTTAGTGGAAATTTAGTGGAAATACTCAAACAGAGAAATACTTGAAAAATGTTTGAGTCATGTGTATATACGGAAATGGGAATAGAAAATAGAATAAAAAATGACTTTCGTAGCAGGGTTATTATTATTTTTAATGAAAAAAAAAAACAAACATTTTCATTACTTAAAATAAAATAAACATTAACTGAAATAAATTTAAATATAAAAAACTTAAACTTATTTTATTTCAGCTAGTTGCTAAGTTGACATTTCTCATTTTCGTTTAGTAAAGTACTAAAATGAATAAAACTGTGTAGACATTTTTTTAAACTAATAAAAATGACAATAATTAAAAAACCATAACTAATTAAAACAGAAAATACAAAAAAATTAAATCAGATTAAAAATATTTACACAAAGTATAATAGTATATCAAGACAAGAGCTATGTTTCCATCACCATGTTTTTATGCGCATTTTGAAGTATCGCATCCGAAATGAGTGATGGAAACGCCAAATTTCTGAAAAAATCCCTTAATTTGCAAAAAAGTTGAGGTGGTTTTTGACGTGTGCGAATAATGGGAGATAGAAACGCATTTGCCGAATAAATTCTGACTTAGTGAACATTAAAGCCACATGACTAATCGGCTGTTTCCGCTGATGGTGTTTTATTTACTGTTGGTTACTAGGTTACCAATTCCACTGTCATCCGCTCAAACAACTTGATGGGAACGCAACTAATTCACATTTGTTTGTTTTTTTGCGAACTTTGAAAAGATTTTCTTTACGTTTGGATCATGGAAACCCAGCTTTTGATACAAAAAACCCCACTTGGGTATGTTGTATCTAAAGCTTGTCTTGTCTGTGTGTCTACTACAGGAAGTCAAAGAAGAACGCTCAAGCTTCATTTGCCCCCTGTGTAACAAAAACTGCATGACACAGCACCAACTCACCATGCATATCAGACAGGTGCGTACTCTTACACAAACACATCCCTACATGTACACCTGTTTACTGAACCACAGCAATCTGATTTAACATGTCATTTTGTTTTAAAATCATTAGATCAGAATTTCACTGAAATTGTATATATATATAGACTATACGTAGACTATATCTCAGTGTAATGACATCTGTGCCTTATTTATCCTCCAGCATAACACAGATAGTGGGGGAACTGACCACTCCTGCAGTATCTGTGGGAAGGCTTTGAGCTCGGCCAGTTCTCTGGACCGCCACATGCTGGTTCACAGTGGAGAGAGGCCATACAAGTGTTCGATATGTTACCAGACATTCACCACCAATGGAAACATGCACAGGTAAATGGTCAGACAGTGTTTTTTGGAGGTTTTTAAAAATGTAAATGTTTAACTTTTTCATAAGTATAGACTAGCATTTCTTTTTAACTCATGATGATACACAAAAGATTAAAGTAATATGCTGTAATAAGTTACAGTAATATGCCTACAAAGGAAATAAGCCAGGCATTTCCCAGGGTTTATAAGCCAAAATGTGAAGCTTGTATTTTTGTTAATGAACATAAATGAATTATTCTGTAAAATCTTGTTTATAATTTGAGCCTAACGTTGTCTAAATCATAATTTTTGAAGTGAAACACTTGTTTATACTCTATATAAATAGTGCTTTTCTGGTATTTTGATCATTGTGCATACAATGTGAAAGTTACTGGAGTTATGTCATAATGACAACAAAGTTAAAAGATTTGATATAATTTTACCCAAACACAAACTTTACAAGGTTAGTACAACTTAACAGCAACTTCATTCCACTAGTCTCAATGTTTATTGGGTGTTTGAGTGTTATTGATAATGTTTAGGTCTTGTGGCTATACTTCAAAACAGTCTGTTTTATGTATCTTAATGTATTTTAGTGAATGTATATATGGCCTGGCATTAATTTCATTGTAAGTGGCATTACTCTAAATGTCAGGTGTGGTGGTGGTGAAAGGAGCGAGGACTCAGGTGCAGAGTTGATGGGCTTTTAATGATAATAAAATAGAACAAAACAGACAACAAAAACTACCCCGAGGGGGAAACCAAGACAGACTTGAACGACTTGACTTGACTGAAGCACACAGCAGGGAAACACACAGGGTACATACGACGACGAACCAGCACAGGACTGAAAACACAAGGAGAATAAATAGGGAGAGCAAACAAAGCAGGTAACGAGGAAGGACAGGTGGGGCAAATGAATCAATCAGGTAACGAGATGGGAGGGGCTAGACAATCGACAGGAGAGCACATGGCACAAGGAAACGTAACATGGTTTTCCTAAGTGGGGCTTGTGATAGAACTGAAAGGGGTTTGTGAGTTGCAGAGGTGGAAAAAGTAAAACAATTTTCTACTCAAGTTACAAGTTACTTAAGTACAAGTAAAATTACCAGTCTAAAAATCTACTCGGGTAAAAGTAAAAAGTAGCTAATTTAAAATTTTCTGAGTAACTTTTTTAACAGCGGGGGTGGGGTGGGGAACTCTCCCGTGTAGGGTTGTAACCATAGACTGTAAAATAAATGTGGACGTAGTGTCTGTGACGTCACCCGTAGGTTTCTGAAGAGCATTTTGAAGCCCAAAGGGGGCGGAGCCGGCCGTCGCCATCTTGGCAGCATCACTCCAGGATAAACGAAATGGCAAAGAGGCGGGATTAGCTGAGGTGACGTGGCGGCTAACAGACAGTAGACAAACGGCTAGTAGTGACAGCAGCGGCAATCCACCTGTCACTCAAGTGGCCATGCCCTTAATTATGCAGAACTTTAAGGCTCAATATAATTTAAACAGTTCACCCCCCTCACAGTTGTCATGAAGGGCAAAATTAGCTATATAGACCAAAACCACTTTTTGCACCAGGCTATAAACACATTTTTCTGCTGTAAAGTTGGGCATTTTAACATGGGGGGGTATTTGGGATTGACTCTCTTTCTGTCTCTAGCAGCCAGTCGATGAATTGCAGTTTAAGTCACTTCCGTGTTGGAAGACAGGAAGGTTGTCGCTTGGTTGTAACGGTATGAGATTTTCACAGTATGATAACCATCTCAGAAAAAATCACGGTTTACGGTATTAATCAATTATTAAATAAATAAACGGTATTAAATTATGGTTATCAATATTATAATCTGTTAAAATGACAGTTGTAATGAAAACAGTTTTTTTTGGTTTAACAAATGCTTTTATTACTGCAAACTTTAAACCATTTGTTTGTTTTGTTTATTTCAATTTCCATAAAACATGTCTAATCAACTAAATTCAATAATTGATAATGAATTAAATTAACAACTTATTTTTAACATTAATAATTAATTAAAATGTTTAAGAATAATATGAGTCCTATGAAATTTATTTTATTCAGAAAATTTGTTTTCTTTTTATGATTTAATACAAATATATTATTAAAAACAGTGGAAATCAAATGAACTTTTAAAACCATGGACAAAAAGATTCCTTAAATAATGTTTAACTAAATTGTATTAATATTATTATGGTTGTTATTAATATTTTTAAAAATACGTTCTATTGTAGGCCTACAATAGTAATATATTTCTGTCATAATTTCTCCTAGTTAAACCGAACTTTTATTTTGACGGGTTGTAGTGTGAAGACCTGTTTCAAAATGTATTTGACAATGGTTTTTCTCAAATAAAATGAGGAAAATGCTTATTAGGCGTTCTCTCAGAGCAGCTTTGGAAATGTTCATGTATGCATGTCCTCATATTGTTTGTGAGACGCTGAAAACACCATGAGCGTCACGCGTACTTGAGTATGTAGACGAAACGGTGCAGCTCATTCACACAGAGACACGCAGAACAAGCTTAAGTAGCTGATTATATATTTATTTATAGCAGTCTTTTGCACTTTAATATTCACAGACCGTCGCAATTTGATTTATTGCACAGCTCTACTTTCGATTTATTCATCCACCCATTAGTTGTGTGTTTTAAAAAAATGTGTGTTTTACATGACAACTGCGTTATACTGTAAATTCCATTTTAATAACTGGATTCCGGGATTCCCTCTGCCTCACGGAAATCATTCGGCCTTAAGTTATAAACAGGACATACATTTATCTGCACGGAGCGATGGCTTTCTGTGTTTCCTCCCTCTTGGCTCTTGCAGCCAACTTTGCGTCCACATTTTTTGCGATTTGGATATCTATCCTTGAGGACAACCACGCATTTCTGCATCACTTTTTTTGCGCGTTTGTTCTCCCGCCCTTCAATCAATTTCCGGAGCGCGTTTTGCCCCTCTTGTATTATCCTTTAAAAAAAAAAAAAAAAAAAAAATGTACTCAGTAACGGATATGATTTAAAATGAAGCGAAGTACAATACTTCAAACAAAAAGTACTTAAGTAAAAGTAAAATTACAGATTTTAAAAACTAAAAGTAGAAGTACACAAAAAAACTACTCAATTACGTAACGCAAGTAAATGTAATTCGTTACTTTCCACCTCTGGTGAGTTGATGGAAAAACATATAATCAATTAAAGGCACAGTATGTAAGTTTCGCCACTAGAGGTCGCTTATTCAAAACAATAACAAAGGTGTAGCTTAATGACACTGTGAATGAGCGTAGAATCATGGGAGTTGTCATCTTTACCTCCACTGCCGATGGAAAACCATCTGACGGGACTCAGGCAGAAATCATGTTCATGGATGAGCTAATGTATTAAAGTTTTATTAACGTTACTGTGGTATGAAGCAGGACGGGCCGAGAGCCTGGGACATTTTATGTTTCTGTTTTTATTATGCTTATATGCCGCAGTCGGTTGCTGACGCTCCTTCCATTTTGTTGCTTATGCATATTTTAGTTATTAAAGTTACGTTTAATATCCGCCTCCTTCTGCCCACGAACTTGAACTTTGTTACAGTAATGTTTGATCGCTTAAATTCACATTATCTTATTTCATTCTAATAAAACAGCCGTAAATGCTGAATTACTACTCATACGGGTCACTTTATCCGACGAATTCAAATTGTGGGGTAATGCAACACTGTTTTACTTGGTCAAAACAATCATACACAAAATACATTTGATTGTGTTGAAAGTTGTTACAATGTTACTCTGTGGGTTCGCTCGTGGCTGCTATGAGACACTTGTTGCACACTGCAGTAATCTAGATCGATATTAGAATAGCATATTAATAAAAGCTGAATGACTGTGCTGCTAAATGGCATGCAATTCATTTTAAAACATTGTATGGTGGAGAAAATGCTGCATTACTGTTACTACAAATAAAGCAATTTCTGATTTTACTGTTAGCCACTTGACATAATAGTGTTGTCTGATTTACTTTTTGAGGACAAACTTGTTACTCGCGGTAAATTGAGAAAACAAGAGATTCAAACAATAAGACTAACCGTGTTGAGCTATATAACAATTAGTTTTCTGTCGATAAAGGTATCCAAACAGTTGCTCACCTAATAAAAGTCATAATATATTAAAGTTCCTTTGGTCTTTCCATGGTTTATACGGAAGTAAAACCGAAAAATCGAGAGTACCACAAATATGACATCATTGACAGGCGACACAATGACAAGGGCCGTTTCACTGGTTAAAATAGCTGGTTTCTCTGGATTTAAACATTGTTGGAAACATTTGGGATAATGTAAGAACACAAGCCAACAAAATATATAACATTATTCTAGTGGTTTTTGGCTATTTTAATCCAAAAATCTTACATGTTATGCCTTTTAAATCATAAAAATGCTAAATTAAAATAAATCGTTTTAAAATAAATACAATCAAAATATTACACTCACTGTAAAAATATATAAAATATTTTGTTTGCCTGCATGTCATATGGAAATTAAACGACATCAGAGAACCTTTAACATGTTGTTAAATTATTGAAACATTAATTTAAAATCTCAAGGGGATACATCAAGTAAATATTTTAGGTCAAAGGGGTTCGGCTGACAAAAACATGCTATTGGTAAAAAATCGAAATCCTTCCAAGCATTATATTAGTCCCACTTTTAGGTTTCTTTTGTTTTAAATAGTTTGTTTGGTGACCTAAAGAAATAATTGTAAGTAAATGTTGCTGTATGCACAGGTTGCAGGCTGCATTAATATAAGTAGTTGTAGGTTTGTGGTAGAGGAGGAGGGCTCAGAGGGAGGGTCGAGAGGGATGAAGGAATGTCTGCATGTGATGTGAGAGGCCTGATTCTCATGGCTGCACTAGCTTTGTTCTTTTTATGTCACTTATATTTGGAAAGATTTTTCTGTGTCCATACTTCCTTTTCAAGTGTCTTTGTGGTCGAGAGATTGATTTGTGACTCTTTTTGTTTGTGTTAATGTGATGTGCATAGAGGGCTTCCTTGTGCAGTTGAGACATGCAGGCATTCCAGATGGGGGTGGAAGAAGTTTGTGTGAGTAAGACAGGGGGAAAAGGAAGGGGCTGGCAGATGGGTACTGAACATATTTTTTGGATAGCACATTATGGATATTGTAAGTCATTTTTAACCTTATCATTTCATGTATTGCATAACTCAACAAAAACAACATTGCCTGGCAGAATGTTAAAACATTTTTCCACTGCCCTCTGGCAAAATTGATAAAGCACTTCAGAAGAAAAAATACTCAGTGGTCCTGCATCAACTTGTAACTTCAAACATAAAATCACACTGTGATTAAGCGGCATGTGACAAGAAATTGCAAGAGCTGGAATTATGGTTGCATGATTAACATTATTATGCTGATAGTGTTTTAATCTGAGTGGTATATCAACATGGTTTTCTGCTGGAAGTAAGTGAGGCCAGAGACATGAGATGGAACAGGATTCAGGCTGTCAGGGTTGGGTCCACATGTGGGTGACCATCACTCTGCCTCTCTTCTATTAATATCTTTGGCTGGAGAATGTAAAACAAGATTCTTACCAATGGGTCAGCTGACATTTATCCTCCCTTTCCAGTTACATACCGGTACACTCAAGAGTGCATGACCATAAACTCTGCACACCAAAATGCAATAAAAGCACATTTCATTGGAAAATGTGCACAATGTATATACTATATGCTCTATAGACATATTCGGACAACCATTCTAAATGAAACGCAGCTGCACATAAGCATCAGGGGCCTTGTATCTGGTCGAACCTGAAAGGTGGGTTTGTTTCTGTGTAAGTGTAGGAGGGTGAGGGGTGCGCACGTTCCAGCATGCCGTAATGCGACTCCCAGCACTTTTCCTCCACACATTACCTCTGACCTCTGCTGGCCATATCATTGCATTTCCCCCCAACCGGTTACGTCTTTGTATATTGCAAGCCTTAATTATGGAAGTATTCCAGTGGCCCCAGTGCCATCTTATCACATCAAGATGTGAAACAGAGAACATTTTACTTGGATGAGGATAAAAACTGGTTTTAATTAGAGTATGTTCAATGATGATTTTCTTTAGTGAAATAGTCGTTTTTTTAATGTATTATAATTTGTAATTAAAACAATTAATTTTAATCAGAATTTTTATGTATTAGTATAAATAAGGTTACAATAATGAGAATGAGACCGTTTCACATTATCAAAATGAAAATTGAGCTTATTTGAGATGAATTTTTCTAAAATTCTCACAATTCAAAATATCTTAAGAGTAATTATTTTACACTAAATAGTGGGGTTAAATTTTACCTGACTATCTCAAATGCCAAAATACAGTTTACACCAGGAGCGTTTTAATAAAGCATTTTAATTGATCTTATTTTCATAATGGTTGTCAGAACTTTCTCTGAGTTATGTTATGTTATGTATTTCTGCAGGCACATGAAAATTCATGAAAAGGATGCAAACAGTATTCTTACCCCCAGTTCTTCCCCACTTAACAAGCGCCGACGACTCTCTGCTAAGAGGAAGCCCAGTGTAGAGGATGAAGCGGAGCAGGCTGAGGAACCACCAGTTAAAAAGGTACGTTTTCACCTCTTTTTTGTCCATGTATTTTTCAGTAATAAAAGCAGTCAAAACATTTTAACTTTTGGAATGTATTGTGCCCATACATTTGTTATATGTAAACAAATTTTGTCTTATATTTAGGTGATGTTGATGCAAAAGCATGGAGAGGACGATTCTGTCAAGAGTGAAGAAGAGCTCCTTCACTGCCCCATCTGCTTTAAGACATTCATCTGTAAATATGATCTGGAATCACACATGGAGACACATCCTGACACTACACTCAGGTAGGCTCAGGATGTTGTCTGCTTCTGTATATTGTCTCAACACATTATATAGTGTAATACTGATTTCTTTATATTTCGTTAAATCAAAACTGTTTCTGACTGTTTCTTCTAATCCTAGGTGTAACATTTGTTGCATTACCTTTCGCACACACCGTGGTCTCCTGCGTCATAACGCCGTCATTCATAAGCAGCTTCCCACTGACCCCTCTGGACGACCCTTTATCCAGAATAACCCCTCCATCCCTCTGGGGTTTGGAGACTTGGCTTTCATTGACTTCAGCTGTCAAAAGTTTCCCCAAATTGCACAGGTAAGGACTTCATCAGATGAGAAAGAATTACTTTATTTATTTTTTGGATGAAGACTGATCATCATTTTGATTTGTTTTATTTATTCAGGTCTGGTGTGAGAGTAATTTGCGCAGATGCTCTAGCAAGTTCCATAAATTTGTTTGTGAGGTCTGCAACAAGGCCTTCCCTCTTCAGCAGTCTTTGGATCTCCACAAATCCTCACATAAATGTAGAGCAGACACCAGCACTGAACCTCAGGAACAAAACGCATATGCTATTATGGATGCACCCAAAGTCAACTCCCATTTCATGGATTCCACGGAGGTCAATGAACTAATACCACATGCTGAAAGTACCAGTTCAGATGGGAAGAACAGTTTCATGGAGTGCATAGGTCTCCAACACTCCTCTTTTGCTAAGCCAGAGAAATCAGAAGAGCAAATTCAGCAGGAAGTTTTAGACAGCATTCGCTTCATTCGTGTTGAGCCTACCTCAAATCTACCTCAAGAAAGCAGTAGCAGTCTCGGCATCTCTATTTTGGAGCCCGTTTCTCTTCAAGCCATGAACAAGAATGCCGCCCTAAGCCTGCTATCGCTACAGCCTCTCCATGGGGTCGTCAGTAGTGGTATGTTTGTCCCAATAAGTGGTCAAACTGCAGTGGAGCTGGCGGACATTGAACAAATCCTTAAGATTGCAGCCTCAGTGCCACCTCAGATGTCTTTGTCTCTGCTTCCCAAAGGTCTGGGAAGTCCTCTACAGGTGGACCCCAAACAGATTACTTCCCTCAAACCTAAGTCCTTAATCACTCCTCGATCCAGCATGAGTGCCTCCACACCCCCTCCACCCGTCATGAATGCCCAACAGGCCTCATCGGGTAACATCAGTCCTAGCCTTCCACCTCAAACAGGCCAACAAGTGAGAACTACCAGACAATCGTCAGCCTCCTCTTCGTCCTCAACCTCGTCCTCTCCCACAAATTGGGAGACTACTCAACTGGGGCCAGATATCATAGGAACCACGATTATCTCATATGAAACTGGAAAGCAAGAAGAGTTTGACAGCAAAGAGAAGGAATCAAGAGTCGTGGGAAAGAAAACAGCCAAGGCCGAGTACCCTTGTCGGTTCTGCAAAGAAGTCTTTTCCTTCTTAGGTGGCCTTCAGGCTCATATGCGTCACCATCTGGGAGCTTCACCGTATCAGTGCACCATTTGTAGTTACGCCGCTCCTGACAAAGCGACGCTGATTCGACATCTCAGAACGCACAGCGGTGAGCGGCCATACGTATGTCGCCTCTGTCACTACCCTTTCACTGTGAAGGCCAACTGTGAGCGTCATCTGCGCAAGAAACACATGAAGAACACACGCAAAGACATAGAGAAAAACATAGAATATGTACCCACCTCCTCTGGCGTAAGCGGTGTCATTGGAGGCACCACATTAGACCTCCTTGATGCGGCTGGTAGCACATCTTGTCGATATTGTGGGGAGGACCTTAAGACCTACCGAGCCCTTCAGATTCATCTGCGAACACACAATGGATGTCAACGGAAGCCATTTGAGTGTAGGCAATGTGGGGTGGCATTTCTCGCTAAAAGGAACTGCATTCACCACTTGCTGAAGCACCACCCAAATGTTCCAGAAAGGGAAATTGAAGAACACATCAAAAGTCTTGTACCGGTAGGAGGAGACGCCGCTGCTCAAGCCAACCCTCCAACCTCAAATGGGCTGGTTAACAGCACCGTTCCTCGGAATGTAGGTCCCTTCTCTGGACCTGTTGAGGACCAGGACCAGCCTTTGGATTTCTCTAGCAAATCTCAAAAAACAATTGCTTCAAATGTTAAGCTTGAAGGAACAACATCTCCTCTGTTTAATGACTGCTCTATGGAGCCCATTGATCTCTCAATACCTAAGTATCCAGAGAAAAAGATAATGATGAAAGAACTTCCTCAGAGCATGTCCCTGAATCATCATAATGTCAAGAAAGAAAAGACTGCTGAAACAACCCCTGGACTTCTTGCAGCTCTCCCAGTTTCCATTTCTAACCTGGCCCCGGCTCTATCCAGTGACCTTACCAAGCCCTTTACTCGCTTGAAGCCACTGTTACCAAAACCATCTTCTATTTCCTGTACTCCTGAAATGGCACCGCTGGCCTCCATTGCTCAGATCATCTCATCTGTGTCAGCTACCCCAGTGCTGATCGAAACAGGAATAGATGCCAAGAACAGTGTTAGTGCAATGGATTTTAATCCAATAAGTGAGAAGAAGGGTCACTTAGGCACCACCAAACTGGAATCCACTCAAAATGGATCTTCTGATAACTCAAAGAAGAGAGGCAAGAAGAGAGCATTTCAGGAGGAGTTCTGTGATCCAAGATTGGCAACAGGCAGTGGCATTGACCTGGAGTCAAGTGGCGAGTTTCCCAGTGTAGAGAAAATGCTAGCTACTACAGATGCAAATAAATTCAGCCCTTACTTACAACCCAGTCAGATGGAGCCAATGAAAGAGGAGAAAGAGAAGCAGCCTGTCAATAAGGAGGCAAAGGAAGGACGAGAGGACAAGCCAAAGAAACCTCCACAGAACAAAGGAAAGAAGAACGCCTACTCCAATTCAGTGCAGAAAATGACCTGCCCATTCTGCCCACGTTTGTTCCCCTGGGCCAGCTCATTACAAAGGCATATGCTAACACACACAGGTGAGACACTGTTTACAATTCATAAATAATCATGCCATAAAGCACTTTATTTACTTTTTTATTTACACTATTCTACAATACAGTGAGCTAAATACCATTCTTAGGAAAATAGTGTACTACTGTACATTTAACACATTCTGTAGTCTCTATTTCATTTGTGAACCATTTAGCTGGAAGTGTTCTTCAACCATTACAGACTAATAGATCTCTGATTATCCTCACAGTAATGCAGAAAGAGTGATGCTAGAATTGGAGGTGTTCAGTATTATATTATAGTATGTTCTGTTATGTTTTAATTAAATGGATCTGAGTCAATAATGTTTCGTTTCTCACTTGAGATTGTTACAGGTTTGTGCTTTGATTTCACAGGTCAGAAGCCGTACCCTTGTCCTCAGTGTGAGTCATTCTTCTCCACCAAGTCAAACTGTGAGCGCCACCTGCTCCGCAAACATGGAGTATCTAATCGGGCACTTCAAAACAGTGGATCTCGACCCAAACCTAAGGCTGACGAAGGATCCCGAGGAAGCACAGGCACTTTTGGTCAGTACCATTGTTATATATTATTATGTAGCGCAAATGGTCTTATGTGTATAACATTTGTATCTAAAAATTTGCTGATTTAACTTTTGAGATGAAGGGTTAATGTCCCATTCATAATGTACTATAATTTAGTTGCCTTGTTTTGTTTATCAACAAGGCTTTTTGCTAAATCTGTATATTTAATATTGTTACATCATTGTGAGGGTGTGAATGAAAGCAATGAAATGTGTATAGTGCTTAACAAGCTTTTCTTGTATTTATAGAGAGTGTATCTGACACGGATTCTCCTGCAGCCGTAGATATTGCGGATATGAGCTCTGTCAAACAAGAGGAGAAAGCTTCATCCCCAGAACAAACAGGACAATCAGCCACTGAACAAACAGACAGCAGCACAGATCCAAACCAAACACAGCCAGCTGAGGGAAACCCTGAGAGAGTAGAAGTTGATTATGATGATGACGACTCTCAGAGCAACAAGAGTCTCGATGTAAACCTTGCTAGCAAGCTTGTAGACTTCAAGCTTTCTGGAGCAGAGCAGAACCAGCCTAAAATAACTGCTGAACCGGTTTCTCCTCCCGACGAGTTCCCCCACACCTGTGCGTCTTGCAAAAAGACCTTCCGCCATGCAGCCACTCTCAGCCGGCACCAGAAAACTCACAATCAGGAGGTCCAGCCCGAGGATGGAGGCAAGAAGGGAAGACGCCAAAGTGCTTCACAAAACCCAATCACAGCGCCCAGAAAAGAGATGGTGCAGGATGCAGATTTAGAAGATGATGAAAAGGATGAGAACAGCAGCTGTGTAGAAAGTGGTGTTGATGAGGAGGAGAAAGAGAGAGAAGATATGAGTGATGATGAAGAAGAGGCTACTTCCTCAGAGCTCAGGGCTTTGGATGAGGAGGGCGAGTCAGCCGGAGGCAAAACCGATAAGAGAAAGAAGATCTGTGCTGTGTGCAGCAAACGCTTCTGGAGCCTGCAAGACTTGACCAGACACATGCGTTCACATACTGGTAAGATCTGGAGCTTCTTAGGCTATGTTTAGACTGTGCCCAAAAGTTTTGGCCACTTTTGCCTGCAGAGTTTTGCAACTCGGAGGTGTCAGTGTAAACAGCACGAACCACATGGAATCTGATCTTTTCAATTTTGATTTTAGCCACTTCCTTATGTAGTCCGAAATCAGATACAGGTCTGATGTTTTGCAATGCGACATTAGTCTGAACAGTCCAATCGGAATTTGTGCGACTTTTATATCACTCTTGTTTAAGGGTGTCCAAACTCTGTCCTGGAGGGCCACTGTTCTGCAGAGTTTAGCTATAACTTGCCTCAACACAACTACCTGGAAGTTTCTAGTATGCCTAGTAAAACCTTGATTAGCTGGTCCAGGTGTGTTGGTTTTTTTGGGGGGGGGTTGGAGCTAAATTGGGGTTGGAGCTAAACTTTGCATGACAGTGTCCCACCAGGAGCAGGATTGGACACCCCTGCTCTAGATCAACATTCGCTCAATTCTGCACTGATGCGAGTCAGTCCAAAAATTTTACATATCAGTAGTTCTTTGGTCACTCAGTTTTTATGGAAGACAGCTGCGAAGGTGGTCAGTTGGGGACAGTGAGGTATTACAACTCAAAAGTATTACGTTGAAAGCTCTATTAAAGCTAATCCTGAGGGCCAACTTTGTTCTTTTGTTCACACTCCAATCTGATATTGGCTGCATAAAAAAAAAAAAGATCTGAGCAATAAATCAGAATTGAGCACTAAGCAGTGTGAACATAGCCTTGTTGTTATTTGCCATACTTTCCAATTATACCTTTCAATAAAAAGAGACAAATATAAAGCTGATACACATAAAATGACCTTTTTGTTGTAGGCGAGCGACCTTATAAGTGCCAAACCTGCCATCGTACCTTCACCCTGAAGCACAGTCTGGTGAGGCACCAGCGTGTCCACCAGAAACCCACGGATGAAAAGGGGACCGATGAGGCAGAAATGAACGAAGAAATGGATGGAGCAAGAGATGACGGCGGAGTGCTGGAGGGAAAAGAGATCAGGTGTTCATCTGAAAGTGAAAGTGAAGCAACAGCTCCAATCCAGAGTGAGAATGAATGTGAGAAAGCAGGAGTGTCCCAAAAAGAAGAGAGCGATGGACACATGGAGGACCTTAAAGAGAAGCAGCACCCTGAAGAAACATCTATGGAGATGAATTCTTCTGAAGAACCTCCCAAAGAACCTCAGCCTGATGGGGCTGAACCGGAGGAGCATCAAACCGAGGAACCGTTAGTTGTCTCAGTAGAGGCCCGATCAGGCTGTGACCCAGAACCTGCAAAAATCAGTGACCATAGCTGTACAGCGGCTCAGGAAATGACAGAGACGCCTGTTCAGTGAAGAGAAAATTCACTATGTTGATTTTGTGCCATAGTTTATGAAGCTTCCACAAACACTAGGAGTTACAAAGCCTGGCCTTTGCTGATATGTGTCTTATAATACAGTATGCATGAAAGATGAAGACTGGAGAACAGTTTCTGAAGCACAGTGATTCTTCTCTTGGTGCCTTAATGCTTTTTTTTTTTTCTAAAAATCTGGATAAACACAAATGGACAGTAGCAATTTTAATCCTATTTATATGATTTTTAATGAATCATATAAAACCTTTATATCAATCAATTAGAAGCATTTGTATGATGAACAGAAGATTTATGTATCAGCATTAAAATGTATTATTCTTAAGTCAATTCCTGTATGTTTTTAGTATCTGTATGGAATTTGTTGGATTTCTTTTTCTTTTTTTCTTGTGGAATTGAAGAGCTGAAGTGCCTGACTTATTTTCATTATCAAGATTGGCTGAATACATTTTGGATGAAATTGCTGTTTAGCTCTGTGATTTTTATTTTGGGTGATCATCGGCCAATCAGTTTTTTTGGCAATATTTGCCTATTCTATGTATATTATCCTCCATCTTTGACCCTCATTGACAAATGATGCAGACAACGTGTATAAATGGCTGGAAGTCTTGAAACAGCGCCTTCTGGTGGCTAAGAGTGTGAAGTATTATATTGTAAGGCCTGTGGATCCAAGAGAAGAGTGCTTCTCAGAATCACACAGTGTGTATCGAATGAGTGCATTTTATGTATCTTTAAAGTGTGATTTGTGTTTGCCTTTTTTGGATTTTGTGTTTGTACTGGAACTCCGTAGGATTCACTTTGACTTCAACACTGGTGTTCACACTAAAAATCAAACTTCTTTATTCAATATTTGTTTAAAAAAAACCAATTCATATAGTTGTACACTAGCTGTTGCAATAGAGTGACTTTGATAAGGCCTGATGCCCACACAATACGTCATGTGATTTGTGGATTTAGATTTGACTAAAGTCCTCGCAGTGGCAAAATATTTACAAGTATGTTTTTATTCATTTTGACAGCTGCAAGCCTTTGGATTTAAAGCCAACTTAAGAAACATTGTAAATTGACTGGTCTTTATATTTGTTGAAACACATTTTCTTTTTTATTTCTTTGTGTGTGCGTAATGATTTTTGTACTTGTAAATTTGTACAAGTGCATGAGGGTGTGCACAGCTATATGGACAGAAAACACTGAACATTTTATGCAGGTATTTATTGATCAGTCTAAAACATGTGGTTGTAATTTTGAAAAGCCATGTAGAATCCAATTTGTGCAGCGAGGAGAATCAAAAAGATGAATGTTGTTGAACTTCTTTGAGATTGTGAGGTTCTCTACATTTTTGGATACTTTGTACATTAGGATGCTTTGGATAATTACATCTTTTGTGTGTCTTTTTGTTTGTCCGCTAATGAAACCTTCAACAACTATACGTTTATTTGAGATCATTGAACCATAGTGTATGATTTGATGGGTTTGACTTTATAATTATAAAAATATTGATTGTGCATGTTAATCTAATTTGAATTTCTCAGTTATTCTCTTTCTCAGGGGCTTTTTGAAATCCGCATTTATCTATGTAATCTATCTGATATATAAAACTCATCTGTTAAGTACAACAGTTAAGAGTGCTCACAGTATGGATAGGCTTCATTGTACCAAACCTTTTCTGCAAGAAATTGTAATGTCATCATTATCAGTGATCATGTTTGTCAGATGGATTGCAAGTATCTGTCAGATCAATTCCGATGTAGGCAACTTGTTAATTTTGCTTTTTCAACCATGTAAAGCGAATAAATCATCCAAATCAATAGGCTAAATGTACACTAAGAAGAAAGAGTTAGAAATTAAGTTGTCAACATTTTTTTTCTCAATTAAAACTTAAAACAGTCAAAAGGTTTCGACATTTAGTTTTATTTCAGTAATGTGACTGGGGCCAATAAAGATTTATTTTGTTGATTTATCATTTTAAACAAAGATGTAGTACCACCAGTGTTACTATACATGTTAATACATTTTTGTTTAAAATATACATTTCTGACTGCTTGGCAATGATCTAGAAATCAACCAAAACACCCTGGCAACATCCCATATCTACAATAATACAACAAGTACAATAATTAATCAACAAATACTTTTATTGAAATCCAGTGTAATTTTGGCGTCACTGTTTCTCTCTTTGAGCCTTCTCAGCACCCTTACCCACGTTGCCGGAAGTGAGTGGGCTGGCGTGCGTGTGTACTGTATGTATGTAAGCGATAAGCGTGTATTGATAGTAGTTGGCCAACTCCCTTACATTCCCTTTTTAGTTGTGATATATTTCAAGGATTCAGACGAATTTCCCATCGCGATGTATCAGGTTGTACCAGGGCAGTTTGATGACGCTAACGAAACGGGAAGGTTTGAAACTTGATTCACTTAAGACAGATTGTCAGTCATATAACACATAACAGGGTACCACGATCGCGGAAAAACAATCATAAAACTAATATATGTACATGTATTGTGATAATGATTTAGACGACAGCAGTGGATTATACAATAATTGAAAATATATTAACAAAATAGTATATATTTGGAATTAATGTGACTGCTTTCTTGGTAACGTGAAGGCAATGTGTGGTCCTTCACAGTGAGTCTGAAATCAGCCGCGTCCCTGACAAGCCCTCGCTGGAGAACCGACTCGATGAAGTTACTTTACAATCCTTTAACAATGACACGCAAGGTGAAAATGAGGAGGAATACGACTATGATGATGATGATGATGATGAAGAGGACGATGAATGGGATTGGAATGATTCAGGAGGAAGAGACTTTACAAAGCGCTACACTGCAATGAGAACTGGGAATAATCCACAAGTAAGTTTTTCATTTTTGAAGGATTATGGCCGCTCATCACAAGGCCAAAAAATCCCATTGTTGACGACTAACCTGGTGTTTCTAGGAATTTGTTTCGATTAAATTACTGTATGTTGCATTATTTGCATGTTCTCTGTTTTTCCCCCCACCAGGCTAACCGTCAAAGTTCTAATAACAAGTCCATTAAAATGTCCACTCCATCAGACAAGGTCTTGAGGAAATATGAAAACAAAATAAACCTCGGTAAGCTTTTTATTAATTTAACTACAATTGAAATGGGAGAAAAGCTATATGCGTGTACTACAGACGTATCTTCTACAGTAACAAATACATTCATATTTATTCTCTGTTTGAATTAAGTCTCTGTTTTACAGATAAACTCAGCTATGCTGATTCTGTGATCAATAAAGTCACTTTGATGCAAAAGCAGAGAGAAGCAGACACGTATGTAATCCTAACCTCAGATGAACTATTATAGTATTTTTTTATATTTTAAATTGGCCTATATTTTTCAGTTTTTTTTTTATATATTTCTATTTTGCTTATATTAATTTTTTTTATTGTAGTTTTAGTATTTCAGTTTTTCATCTAATGTTTGTATTTTATCTCAGCTTGATTTAAATGAACAAAAACTATTTTTAATAGTGTTAGTTTGACTTTTTTGTTAACAACAATAACACTATCTCGCCTCGGATATGATTTCCATTCAGGTTTAAGTTTTTAAATCTTAAGAATCGCATACATTTTTGCAGGTTTCGAGTAAAGGACAAATCAGACAGAGCTACGGTTGAACAGGTATGTTTGCTCAAGCTTCATGTGATGATTTCACTTGAACTCCAGTGTTGTAATTGATGCACTTTTCAGTGTGATATTTTTATGTGACCCCACAGGTTTTGGACCCCCGTACACGTATGATTCTGTTCAAAATGCTCAGCAGAGGTGTCATTTCAGAGATCAATGGCTGTATCAGCACAGGCAAAGAGGCAAGTTTGTCCGAATGGAATAAAATGATGAATTGCATTATTTGATACACTTGGGTTAATGGGTTATTGTGTCATTTTACTAAGAACTAATGTTAATGTTGTTGTTTTCTTGTGCCATTCTATTTTTTTTATTTTTTTCTCTTCTGCGTTTTGTAATGCAGGCAAATGTCTATCATGCAACTACTGTTAAAGGAGAAAGCAGAGCCATTAAAATATACAAAACGTCAATTCTGCTATTCAAAGACAGAGATAAATATGTCAGCGGGGAGTTCAGGTGAGACAAATATCTTTTTTCAGGCCTTTAGTCCTATTTAGCTGCCTTGGTGTGTGCCATTGAAAAGTACATTTCTATGTTGAAATACATTTTAGGTTCCGCCATGGCTATTGCAAGGGCAATCCTAGAAAAATGGTGCGCACTTGGGCCGAGAAGGAAATGAGAAACTTGATCAGGTGAGCATTATTATGCCTTTTCTTTTTTTTCTTTCATGAACCTATTTTATGATGTTGGCTTTTATCACTGATGTGAATGCATTTATATCAAGACTACAGACTGCACAGATTCCAAGTCCAGAGCCCATCATGTTGCGGAGCCACGTCCTCGTCATGAGCTTCATCGGTCGAGATGACATGTATGTAGGCATTTACAGATACACAAATACTTCTATTGTTTCAAGGTTTTCAACTTTTCCTAGATGATACTCCAGGGCCCAGTTGTTCAAAAGTTATCTGATCGGATTGGGTCAAATCTTGAGTGGGTTGTTCAGAAGAAATAAAGGATTTGATCACAAAATCCAATCTTGGTTTTGATCTGGATCTTACAAAAACTTTTTAGTAAGATCGGGATACCTTTCGGCATAAAGGGTGGATTTCAGGAACAAAAATGTAATAACTTTAAAACTGGTCAAAAAATACAACATTTGTATCATGTAATATATATACAAATACTTTTTATTTTATTTTGCTCTTGATAAGTTTACCTGTTGAAGTAATAAGTTAGAAGTAGACATTAGGCTACCTATTAAGCCTTTCAGTAGCCTACAGTAAAGTAGAAAATAGATTTTGGTGCCATAAATAAATCCAGCTGTCTATATCAAACTAAAATATTTTATCACTGTTTATAAACTGTTGACACAATCATCAGAGATGAACCAGTCAAAAAAAGTTTCTAACAATTGCATGTATATTTGTTTTTATTAATTTGTTGTGGGTCAGATGAGAGGCTATGGAGCCCCTTGAAGGACATGGTGATGGGAGGAAAAATTATCTTTTACTGCTTTTCGCAAATGTTTTGCATTCCGCCAAGAAACTTAGCATATGATCGTAAAACTTCTCAGGACTTTGCAAGCGAACTCAGTTTCTTGGGTGAATGCATTGCAAAAATTCTCAAATCTAGTATTTTTTTTTTTCCATCAGCATGTCCCTTTAAGGGCTCTGTAAAGGGTCTGACTGTTTAAAATGGAAGTGGATGTTTGTATTGTTTTGCTGTGCTGTTCTTTCCCTTCAAATAAAAACACATGAACTGACCCCACATTGACTATTCTACCTGTTGTTTTCTTTACATTGCTAGTAGCCTACATTGTGAATGTGATATGTGATCCCATTGAGTGCAATAGTAATCCGGATTTGGTAATCTGAAATAAGTGTGTATCTGGATCAGGGTGATCAATCCAATTCTGCTTTGAAAAACCAGCACAAAAGTTAGATGGATTACCTGATCCTGGATAGCAAAACATGGGATTTCCAAATACATTTCATTCTGATCCAGTTTTCAAATGATCTTGTTTGTGTGTTTCTCAGGCCTGCCCCTCTACTGAAGAATGCTGTCCTTTCTGAATCCAAAGCCCGGGAACTCTACCTGCAGATCATCCAGGACATGAGAATAATGTACAATGAAGCTCATCTGGTCCACGCTGACCTTAGCGAGTTCAATATTCTGTAAGCTTACTTTATATTATGCACACATGGTTTCCAAGTATCAGGTAATGTTTGTTGATGTTCAGTTGTACATGGTTGTGTTAGGTATCATAACGGAGATGCTTACATTATCGACGTCTCTCAGTCTGTTGAGCACGATCACCCTCATGCTCTAGAGTTTCTTCGCAAAGATTGCAGCAACGTCAACGGTAAGCATGTGCAACCTCATGGTTAGCAAATACATTATTAATATGAGCAAAACAATTTTTAGATTCTAATTAACTTGGGTAGTAACTAATTACCTTTTTACTCCCCCAGACTTTTTCCAAAAACATAATGTAGCAGTTATGACTGTACGTGAGCTGTTTGAGTTTGTCACGGACCCCTCCATCACAAGTGACAACATTAATCAGTACTTGGACAAGGTCAGCTATTGTTATCATTAGTCTTTTACAGCGTCTCTCTTTCTCCTGATTATTGTACAATCTTATCAAACTTGATTTATTTGTGTGCACATGTGTTGTAGTGTTGATCTAAAGTTGTATTTTGACTGTAATACGTTTGTGGTTTATCTGCAGGCCATGGAGATAGCGTCTGAAAGAACTGCAGAGGAAAGATCCAATCAGGACAAAGTTCATGAGGAGGTGCACTTACTTTCAACAGTTCTTAACATTTTGTTTCCCCATCCTAACTTCCAGAGTTTCCATAGTCATGGAAAAAAATGTCACATTTTTAAATTGCGATTTGCAGGCCTGGAAAAGTAATAGAAATGGGTGAAATTGAAAAACAGTTGTTGTTAATTAAAACAAATAAAATGTAAATATTCAAAGAAAAACTTAACTTGAAAAATGTACACTCAAACTACACAAACAAAAATTAAAAATATAGGGTTAACTGTATTATATGTCAAAAATATAAACTCCACATTTTGAATTTTTATCAGCAGTATGTTGTTAAATGAGTTTTTGTGTGGGCTGCACTCATTTGTTTAATTTCTCCTCGAGAGGCTGCGCGAGCCTCAACAGCGCAACCTTGTTACCGTCAGTAATACATTTATTATTTACCATCGATCGCAACTTAGTTACAATAAATGTAATGAAATCCGAATCATTCTCTTGTTTTAGTGATTCACTAGTTGGTTTTTTATTTTTTGTTGAAGTTTTAATCAGGCTACTTGTCCGTTCGGGCAAGTACAATTCTCTTTTACTTCAAAAAATCCACTTGTCCCGGACAAGCGTTAATGTCGAGCCCTGATGTATATAAATACCAGTCTTGATGGTAGTACTGGAGATGTTTGACATTGTTAAATAAATATCATTGTTTGAATTCCAAGGTTTCATATAAATGGAAACTCCCGGCTATCACTGTACAATTATATTTTTTTCATCATAAAACTGGAAAAGTCATGAAAATAATTGGTGTGGGAACCCTGTCTAACAACTTGCATGTGGATGTCTCAATTCAAAACAGGTGTTTAAGAGAGCCTATATTCCACGCACACTTAATGAAGTCACCCATTATGAGAGGGATGTGGACACAATGTTGAGGAAAAAGGAGGAGCATTCTTCTGAAGATACACGCTCTGAAAATGTACGTCTCATCATCTTAAATGAACAGTTGATTAATGGTGTGAGAATTGCTAAAAGTTGTTGAAATGATGCTTTTCCATTACAGATCCTATACCAGACAGTGACAGGCCTCAGGAAGGACCTTTCTGGTGTGCAAAAGGTGAGTTTGTTTTTAAAAAGACCATTTGGCATATTATAGATTAAGCGTTAGGTTTAAGACGCTTTATGTGGCCAAGATTTGTTTTTGCTATTAATGCATCCACTAAGTCTTTGCATAATTCTCTTTGGAGTTGTCTTTGCCTACATGGCATGTGGGAGGATTAAGGCAGAGTATATAAACAACAGCCGTCGCCAAACTCAAACGTCATGACGATGAGAAATCAGATAAAAAAATTAATTTTTTTTGGCAGGTACCGTCAATACTGGAAGACTCCACAAAAGATGATGGCTCAAGCTCTGAGGAAGAGGAGGAGGAGGAAGATGAAGAGGACAAATCAGAAGGGGAAGAGACTCAGGAGGTTGGCAACCTCAGTGAGGAAGCACAACTGGACAGAAAGGTATCTACTGGGAACAGAAAATGTCGCACAGATGAATTGTGTTCAGTGGTTAAGAATAAGCTGGTATTTCTGTCTTTCAGGAAAGAAAGAAATTGGTTAAAGAAGCTCAGAGGGAGAAAAGAAAAACTAAAGTTCCAAAGCATTTGAAAAAGCGCAAGGAGAAGGCTGTCAAAAAGAAGAAATGAAAATGAATGCGGTTCGAATGAAGGTGAACTGAGGTTACAGCAGAAATGCTACATGGCTAATGGTACCAGTATTGAAGCTGGGAACTCTACTGAAGAAATGCCAGTCCTTTTACAATTATAAACATCTGTTGTCAGCGTTATGTAAATGTTTTTGAAACGTTTATTAAGAGTATTCTTTTTAATAAACTTATATTTTCTCTGATCATACTGCTTGACTAGTAGGTTAAATGTCATGTTTTATTTTAGACTGACAAATCGATTACATTTTTGCTGTAATGGAACATTTAATATACATTGTGCAGAACAGTTTACACAAATATTCATGTTTTACTAGGCAACATGCTGTTAAAAAGTATGCTTTTTAAAAATATTTAAGTGACAAAAACCTCTTTACATTTTACATACACATTCTCTTTACATCTTATACATTTAACATTGCATTAAAGTACACTACCATTCAAAAGTTTGGGTGTGTAAGATTTTTTGGTATCACTTTATTTAAGTGACATTGTTACTGTGTAAGTACACAAATAATTACTTGGTAATAATTATTAACTACATGTACTACTTACTATAGGGTTAGGGTAGGCTTTGGTTTGGGGTTATTTACTTGTAATTATGCATAATATATATATATATATATATATATTTTTTTTTTTACTGTTATTACTATAGTAAGTACATGTTACTGTCACCGGGAAAAGATTTTTGGGAAAGAAGCCTCTTATGCACATCAATGCTGCATTTATTTCAAATGTCAACATACATTAATATTATGAAATAATAACAATTTAAGATAACTTTTCTATTGTATATAAATTAAAAAGTGTAATTATTCCTGTGATGGCAAAGCTGAATTTTTGCATGATTACTCTAGTCTTCAGTGTCACATGATCTTTCAGAAATCATTCGAAGATGCTGATTCTCTGTTCAAGAAACATTTCTAATTATCAATTGTGAAAAAAGTTGTGCTGCTTAATTTTTTTTATATAAACTGATTTTTTTTTAAATCAGGACTTTAATAAATAGAAAGTTCAAAAGAACGGTATTTATTTGAAAATGGAAATCTTTTGTAACATTATAAATGTTAATAGAAATATACATTTCTTCATAAAAACTCTTATTGACCTCAAACTTTTGAACAGTAACAAAATGAGAAATTATATAACATTATAAACACTTACAAAGTGGGACGATCAGCACTATTAAAAACGAGCTGTACCTTTGACTGTTTACAAACATATGATGCCTATGAACAATTCAGATACGGTGTTTCATTTGAGGCGTAGGACACCTAGCGAATGCCCTCTACGTAGTTGGCAGGCAGCATCCCTGATCTCCCCGTCCGCTGTACCGTTCCATACATCCAGCCTTCGTCGATCGGCTGCACGTTCTGAATGATGTCACCATCCCGGAACGACACCTCATCGTAATCCTGCGCCGTGTAGTCATACAGAGCCCTGTACACAGTCTGGTGACCCAAGTTTAAGTGCATCAATAGTAAGTATTTTACACTACTACTGAATACATTTTTAAATCAAAAGCATGGTGTAGTCAGATGCTATATAATATACCAGAAAAATGAGGACTCACCATACTCCTGTGTTGTGACCTCAGCTGCATTGACCTCAGTGAATGCATGCTGGTCTGATGCATGTAGCTGTGGCCACTGGAATAGTAGGCACCAGGAAGAACAGGTGCTAAAACACAATCACCAGGATGATCTTGATCTTCAATGGTAATGTTTATATTTAGAGCTAGTATACTGGTTTTGTTGTTCTTTTCCCCCTTTTTTAGGTTGTACTGTCAAGTGTGAGCATCTCACATTAGTGAACTTACCCACAATGACACCAGGTCTTCGATCCATCTCCATGATGCACTGATGGACACCCTTGTGTGAGCTGTTTCCCACCGTCTCATGGTTAGGCGCCATCTGAGGCCGTACCAGGTACGTTCCACGCATTCCCTGAGTGACCCCATGCAAACCTGACACCTCAAAATCCTTGTGATACTTTGCCTGCAAAAATGGGGATATCACCTGTTTCATGCTCATACAAGTGTGATATTTATACTACAGTTAAGTTTTGGGTCAGTAAGATTAATACTTTTATTCAGCAAGGATGGATTGAATTGATCAAAAGTGACATACTTTTATAAGTTACAAAAAATCTTTTTTTAATGAATGTTCTATTCATCAGAGGATTCTAAAAAAAAAAATTATCATCATTTCCACAAAAATATTAAGCAGCACAACTGTTTTCAACATTGATAATAATAAATGTTTCTTGAGCAGCAGATCAGCATATTAGAAAGATTTCTGAAGGATCTGTGACACTGAAGACTGAAACATTACAATAGAAAATAATTGTTTAAATGGTAATAATAGTTCACAATATTACTAAATGCAGCTTTGTTGAGCATAACTTCTTTCCAAAGCATCACAAAATCTTACCGACCCAAAACTTTTGAACAGTATGTATGTATGTTGGACTAATCATGAATGCTTGCATATCTAATACACTAATTGATCAAGTGTACATATTTGTGTTTTTCATTCAGCTACATTTTCCAGCATACATTACTGATCTGATCCTGGGCCTTCCTCAGTCTCTGCAGCTCTGGAGTATCCAAGGCGAATTTGAAGCCCTGACCCTTGCTCTGTTCAAAATCCTTCCTGTACTTGACCTGAAGAACAAGAAAACCATTTTACCAGGGAATTTGTAAGGTTTTCTGGGTGATTTTAAGTGCATTATGCGGTTGAAAGATTATATGTGTATTTTCAGTTAACTTTAGTAAGATGCATTTACAGTGTTACTGTGCCTCAACTGAAACGGTGTCTGTAAAGCTGTGAACCAAATGGCCCATACAGACGTATGGCCTATAGAAACTGATGGGTGTGAATGCCAAAGGAGCAACATTGCTCAGAGAAGATTTCTTTTTTTTCTTCAGATCCCTAACACAAAGTATGAGCAATAGATACAATAGACAAAATGTATTTTCACAGCTTGTTGACCAATACTTCAGAAAAATGAATCCTGTCATAATGCCAGGATTAGGTCGGCCACAGTATGGACTTGGCAGCATCTTTTGTGCCGCCAGGTGGAGAAGCTGAGGGGATCGGCCCGTGCACCACAGAGTAGACAGCTGCCTTGCTTTTCTCCATGCTAACCTCAAAAGTATCACACCCAGTCCCTCACTGGCAGCCAAAACACTCACATGGGCGTAAACAATTTTGTCTCATGTTATCCCTTTTGAAAAGTCTCTACCAACAGCAACAAATAACATTATCCTACCCTAGATATCCCCTCCTTTAGATTTAGAGCAGTATCACATTTATTTTTTATAACGTGTGTGTGATTACAATGTACAACACCCCACATAGTGAACAAGTGCTCTTACCTGACTTTGTAGCTCGCTTTGCTGTCTCAGCCGTAGGTTCTCAGGGGTGTCTGTCACAATTGTAAAGGTCTGTTTTGGGTAGTGCCTTTTTGGAGAAAGGAGGCGAGTCATTTTGCGCTTTTGGACTCTATCATATTCATATTCTAAAAACACGTATTACACTTTTCATATGACTTCAAATTACCTAAGCATGTATGAACATAAGTGTATATAAACTAGTATTTTTGACAAAAACATACGCGTTGCAGTAGGGCTTCTTCTCATATCCCTTGTAGTTGTTCATGTTGAGAGTCATTTTACACACTTCACAATGGAAGCATCCTTTGTGCCAGTACTGTAAAATGTGGGAAGACGGAAACATAAAGATTTTGGTAGATAATTATGAAAGAACGTAGACAAGAATGTATACATTTTCCCTTAAAAGCATCGGAAGTAAGAGTATAACGTTACCTTGTCCAGGCAGTTCACTTTCTCAGTTGCGTAGACAATTTTCCCACAGCGCGCGCAATGAGGGTTCATTTTCAAGCTGTTGCGATGATCCGGGAAAATAGCATAACTTCGATGATTCACTAACTTATTGTAAAATATCTCAGATGTGTCAGATTTGCTGCAGCATGCGGTGAGTTTGTGTCGCAGAGTTTTAAATTCGTGTTTATCCGCGTGTCGCTGGTCTCGCAGTGAGGGAACAGGAGCAAAGCGTGAGATTTCACCAAACATCACCCACTGAGACTGACTGTTGGAGGAGCTCTAAAAACACTGGCCGCGGGGAATGGACTGTTCTGTAGGTGCACAATGAGCCAAAAAAAAGTGCACAACGTGTCTAAATAAAGAGTTAGGCTTGTTAACGTGATATGACAAATGGAATGACAATTCGAATAATGGTATTTTGTTAAAGTTCTGACAAAATGTTTTACAAGATCGTGTGTCTTATTTAGTTTCTCTCTTCACTCATCAAACCTGTCCTAAAGAGACACATCACATCGATCTTGGTGATTCTGTATTTATAGGCTGTTGAGTATAGCGGTCAGCAGCCGTTGAGAGTAATGGCATTATAATGCCTAAAGAGGGCAGTAGAACGCCGACAGAATACACGTTCCTATTTGGGAGAATATGTAGGATTAGTGATTAAATCAGGTGCAATACTGCCAGTGTAATACTTGTCTTGCAAGTAGATATTAAAGTTATGCTATGTCATGGATATATTGCTTGGATTATTACAATCGTTAGTAAAGAAAAGAAAAAAAACTTGTGCTCAGTTTTTTTTTATGTTGCATCGTTTTTTATTTATAGCAATGAGATAAACTACCATCACAAAGTTTTAATTTTCTAAAAGAAATCTATCCGCCATCAGGTTAGTTCCCATTCCAATAACAAGATTAGCGAGATAAAGTTATTAGTAGCCTATAGGCTGAAAAAATAATGTGATCTAACATGTCTGCCCCCATGAGGCGACCCGCTCTATGAAAAATAAAACGTATTATGCTACTGATATGTCTTCATCTCATGGGAGAGTACAACATATTTCTTAAAAGTGCTATTTATATAAAATGTAGGTCTATAAGAAAAAAATAAGCGGAAATATAGCCTACACTGTAACCCGTTTTGATTAGGCTAAATGTGGTCTTCCTATCATTTTTGTGAAAGTCCTGTATAGCTGTATCTGCATAAAATAGGCTACAAACTCTTCCAGCTATTTCATGCGTATTATAATTTTAGATACATTTACATTGTAATCGTACAATTTGATTATCCACATACGCTGTTTACGCCGCAGTGATAGCCTATGGATTTAGTTGGTTTTACGTCCTCGGCGACATCTCTTATATGTGGACTCGGTTTTGCACAATATAACCTTGCTAATGACTAGATTAAACAGCCTATTTTATTATTATTATTATTATTTGGAAGACCAAGCGTGAAAAGCTTAGACTACTGACCAAGACCAAAATCGAGATGGGTGTAGTGGTGCACAATAGGACTATTTGGATCTCATCATGCTGGGGCTGTATCTACCCAAGTGTGCCGCCAGGCCAATAGCGTTCCGTGAAACACAAGATTTATGTGTCAACGTGCTGAGCTAAAGCAGAACTGTCAGACTGATCCAACTGCTGCTTAAATACAGGCGCAGTGGATGTGGCTCCCGGTCTCGGTCGGAACTTCAACAGGACAGTGGTTGTTTATTAGTATTTTGCCGGCTTTTTATTAGTTACGTTCGCATTGAGAGATTTGTTTGGGATCGTACCACAATTACCATTGTTAACGGGTTTTCGCCATGATTTAAATTGAGGCGACACACCTTTTTAAAGAGGTATCTGCGTTCTGAATCTGCATCCGTTTACTTTTTCTTAAATTTCACGTTACGCCTCATGATGGACACGGATGTCATTCATTTGAACTTCTGGGGTGCTTTACCGGGCGAGCTTAAGATTTAGTTTGCAAAGCTGTGTGTGTGAATGAGCTTGTAGCGCACACATCCTGCCAACTGTAACGTTAACCTTCAAGCTAACGTCAATGACAGCTAGCATTTAGCTGGTGGGAGTTGGTGGATAGCGGGATTTCTGCGAGAGTTTTCATCGTTCGTCATTTGCGCGTTTGCAGAGGGATGCATGAACGCGATGCATTAAATAACGAAAGGGACAAATTGCATGTCGAGATCCGGTGGAGCGCCGCTGATTCTGAACAGCTTGTGTCAAGACATCGCCACAGTGCCACGCACCGAGAGGGATTTCATTCATTCGAGCCTACTCGCTAAACATGGCCTCTGCAGCCTGCAACCTTGCTGCAACCATCGCCAGCAAAACCAAGAAGAAACATTTCGTGTCTCAGAAGGTGAAGCTGTTTCGGGCCAGCGACCCACTGCTCAGCGTCTTGATGTGGGGAGTGAACCACTCGGTAAGGGTTACGTTTTCTTACAGGTTTATAACAGCTGCGATGTTGCGTCTGAGCGGATTGAAGGCACGTGTGGTAGTTTTCTTGCGGCTTCTTGATCCATGGATAACTGTAGCATTGACGTCAGTCTACGAATCTAAACATCAGAGCTATTTGTTGCGAGCTTCGTGAGTCAATGCGTTCTAACTTGAGACATGCCACTCAACTTTAGATTTAAACATACAGGTCCGCATTGAAATTAATCCGATGATTAATGTTAAATGTATACCATTTAGTCTAATTTGATTTGGTCAAAATTGATGAGATTAACACTCACTAAAACCACCTGTCATCAGACATAACCAAATATTACATGAATCTAAGAACATAAAAAACCCTAAAATATATTATGTATTACTGGTGCTGTTTGAAGATATATATATATATATAGGCACAATTATTCTCAAAATTAGAATTAAATTCTTATATTCCCAATCCCAATAAAATTCTTAAAGGATATCTCTTTAAAAAATCTGTCAAATTCAACATTAATTCTGATACTGAAGGTCCTCTGCCTATTTTATCTGCATGAGATCAAGCGATCACACGGGCTCTGGTGATTTTATATATATATATTTATATTAGTTATATGTAATTTTTTACATAATTTCTCTAATTTTAAGTAGGTCCTGGTGGTAAAACCATCTAAACACAATGGCTGAAATATGTGTGATATGCAGAATGTGATTATTTCATTAACACATTTGCATGATGGTAGTGAAAATTCAACAGATGGTGCTGAAAATCAGTTTGAAAGCATCCTGTGGTGTCAAGTCATTAATTCTATGACATGAATGCTAGATTTGTAAATATTTGTATTACATTTGACACATTCTTTTTGTATCTGATGGTGTTCATCCATATGAATTAATGGGACAAGAAGCAATATGTAAGAAGCAGGATATTACAACCAACCATAGGCTAGGTGATTTACTGAGGAGATTAATCCAAAAATATTTTGTTGAAAAATGAATGTTATTTTTCAGTTTCAGTTTGGTCTGTTTTGTCCCAGTACTCAAGAATCAATGAAATGATTGTGTCAGTGAGCAAAGCAAGTGTTTGCTCAGATGAGAGGCTTTGGCACAGAGTTGTGTTGGTTGAGGACGCTGAATGATAACTACACAGGCTGCAGACAGCATTAGATCCCTGATCCCTTGTCAGCACCTAATGTCTGCACGAAAATCAAAACTACAAGAATACGCTTGTTCTCAGAGATCTCATAACATGGATTTCTAAATTCTAAATTTTTGTTCCTTTTCTATTCTCTTATTTCTCAATATTTGAAAAATGTTTTAAAAAAAAGTATTTTGCTATTTGAATCTTGATTAACACCAACAACTGTAGGACTAAATATATGTTTGTTTAAAAAGCATGATATGTTTAAAGAATACTTTTCCTGTGGGAATGGAAGATTTCCAGGTATCTGACGAAGCTTTAATTGGTCTCCTGGGAATCTGGTCACCGGTGTCTGGGAGCCTTATGCTCTGTCATGATGCACGTGCATGAGATGCATGAAGTATAATTATTCATTTAAACATAGATTGAAGTCAAGACATTAAATGCTCATTGTTTTTATGCAGTCTATAAGCCTCTCAAATACAATTGAAAAGCATCTTAATTTCCCGTGTGTCTTGCGAGTTGAGGTGAGGAAGATTTAATGTATAGCATTATTTCAATACCACAGAATTATATGGCTGTTGAAAATGCTGTTTATAATTACTCTTATCTACATGAATTGCCTGTTATACTTTGTAGACCATGTAACTCGTCACTAATCAAGACCCTTATGTATGAATCAGGTACCTTATATTTAGATCTATTAGGCTATTGGGCATGATGAATTATTCTTATCTTTAAACTAACTTGTTGCAACATCCAGTGTTTAAGGTCAAACAGTTTCAGGCTGTATTTTTTGAGTTTATGCCTTATATATAGTATTATAGTCAGCTACCATACAAGCGCACCACTTATGGTAAAAGTGTTACATTGGCCATCAACAAATATTGTTTCATCCCATTTTTTTGAAAATATACTCACAAATGTCACCCCTCAGAGTATCCTAAGTGGATGTAGTGAAATACAAGCCAGTTTCCCCCTTCAGCATCCCAGTTTTGGAATGGAGAGGTTGTTTGAATGGCCTTTTGATGTATTTTCTCATCAGCCCTAGAGAGGCTGTAAAAATGAATATGTGCAGTTTAATTGATTTAAAAATCACTTCCATTTAGGCATGTGACGGTATCACTTTTTCAATTTGCGATAATTGCTCAAGCTTTTATCATGGTATGGTATTATCACGATATTGAAATATGTTGCAAAAAAGTGTCAAAAAAATGTCATACAGGTTTAATATATTTACAGGTTTAACGTAACAGGTTTAATATATTTTTTCTTATAACAAAAAGAACTGAACATTTAAATACAATAAAAATACACAAAAAATTATAAAGTAAACGAATGTCAAACAGTGCAAGAGAATTATAAAGAACAATAGGTAACACTTTACAATAAGGTCTCATTAGTTAATGTTAGTTAATCCATTAACTAACATTAACAATGAGCAATAGCTGCATTTGTTACAGAAGTTATTGAATAGCGTTGGTTAAAAAATACAACTGATCATTGTTAGTTCATGTTAGCTCAGGTTTTGATTTTAATAATATATTATTACATGTTGAAACTAATATTAATACATGCATTAGAAGTATTTTTATTGTT